GTCCTGCATTTGATGCTCCGCAACCTCCTACCTGAGGGGAGCGGGACAAAAAGTGAGTGTGCTGGGTGAGTAGGGTCTGAGACACATCAGAAAAGAGGTGAAAGAGGGGCTTGTGGAGTTACAATAAGGAGGAATTCAGACCAAAGCATTAACTTTCTACTTCATATAGACCCCAACTGAATGATTAAAATGTGAAAAAGAAGGATTTAAAAGCAGRATATGTCTCTTTTAATATTATAATCTACATAAAACAAATAACATCAACAACAGATAAGAATACACAAAGAACACATTAGTTATACAGAAAACAAAGTTCATGAAAGAAATAATGAAGGGACGACCTGCAACTTTCATGACAGAGAGTTACACTAAAATCCTTTAATGATAATAAAGAAGACACTTAAATGGAAAAGATTTTATGAACAAGAATATGTGATCGAGGGTGTGGTGCGATAGTAGCTGACAATCATCCTTGACATACAGAGCACCACACACAGGCCAGATTACTGTTAGTCAGGCCTGTTTCCATGTTAGAAAGTACCTCATAAAAGACTGAATGGATTTTAACGACACTTTCAGAAAAAGACACCCCTAATCAAGATGGCCGCTCCAGCCAGTYTACATTGAGAAAATAAAGTAGCTCTATAACTAAAATATTAAGCTCAAATTTGATGTGGTAGTAGCWGAGAATCCTCYTCAACACATACTTTGATCATGTTGTGTAATAATCCTAATTACTGTTTTTCAAAGGTTTAACAAAAGAGGATAAACTAGCATGAAAGCAGCAGATGATAATCTACATTAGAAGAACTGAAATGTTGTGAGACAATGAAAATAAAAAACATAATTTCAAATGAACTCCTGCCACACGTTTCTACGATACGAAGCTCATCCGTCTCTTTTTGTTTGTTTCTTTCAGTTTTGCACTGATAATTGAAAACCGTGTTTGTTTGCCCAGAGCCTCCAGCTGCTCTTCATCTGCGTGTTTTCAGATGTGCAGCAGGAGATTCCTCCGAGCTGACGTCCCTGAAGCTGGACGTGAGGACGGAGGGGTCCCTCCTGTCGAGYGCCGGGGGTCCCGCAGGTTTGTGGTCAGGGCCGTAAAACTAACGAAGAGCCCAGAGCTGACAGCATCTCTGCACCCCCACCCACCCCCACCAAGCGGTGAGTGTGCACACTCTGCACCATAATCACCATCTCTAACTRATGCTCTGCTTGTTTTTCCTTCTTTTTATGATCCTCTTTTTATTTGACCTTAACCCTTAAATAAACTGCTTGAGTCTGAGCAAGACGAGGAGCTGCTTCTCTCCAGGAAACTCTGCTGTTGTTTAAGACTTTGTTRATTGTAAAAACGTTAAAAAATAAGCTTGAAACATGTTTATGGAGAGGATTTGTCCTGAAACATGTGAGATCTGTCTTTTTAACATTCATCTGCACTGCAAAAAATGTCCACCTAACCAAGTTTTAAAACCTTATATTCAGCCAAAAAGTCTTTTTGATCTTGTTTT